CAAAATCAGTCATGTTCTTAATTCTTGTTAGAAAAGTGGCATAAAGTAAAACTGATCAAAATTAAACAATTAAAAAAGATAAACTCATATAAGCTTAAACAGAATAAGCCATTTTGAATAAAAATACTAAAAAAATGGTAAAGTTTAACTAACTTAATGTTTTAACTTTCCTTTAGTAACACACAACATTGCAGTACTTTACTTGTTATTATTATTTAAATAAAAACTTTGTTACTTGTAATAACCTCTGTCAGCGATCCACAATCTTCTTAAGTACCCTAATTTAACCCTCATTTCAGCCTAACAACACTGATATTATCCATAGCATTGTCATGAGTCTGTTCACTCACGCTCCAGTCTCTGCTGTTATGTTTTGTTTTTGTTATGAACCAACATATCACTAAATTTAATTACCATACAACCAATGTCTTCGTCAAAATGTGTTGCAATGAAAAAAACAAACTGATGAAAGATAAAAAGTAAACCATTCACAGAAAGTTGCAGTGTTGGTAATTTAACTACTGTCTTTTATAAATACAATATCTTATTTGTATTAATTTGTTTTACTTTTATTTATACTGTTATTTTTGCAAATTCCTTCAAAGAATTCAGCTAATCTAAGACTTATCATCTAAAGTTCTCATAAGCAAGAATTAATATTCATGTTGTTACTACAGTGAATATCAATAAACACTCTGAGAAAATACAACTCCTTCACTGTATGTGGAAAAGCTATTACAGAGGAGAATCAAGCAAGGATCATGAAGTGTGCTATGTAGAACTTTCTGTCACAGGTGAATGATTCTTGTCAAAAGGCAGATGACATTTTGTCTTGGTAATTAACTTGGTAGCATGGAAAACATGGGTTGAAAGACCCCTTTCAGCTAAATTTTCAAACTTCTAACCACTATTTTCAGTTGTACAAACTGTTAATGCTCTATTTATTACATCTATTAATACCAGCCACTCCAACTGGTTTGGTCAAGATTAACAAACTTAGCAAGCAAATTTTTACAGTCTATATACCAACTACATTAAACCATCAAACTGAGGGTGATAAGGTGAAGTGCATGTCTTCACCACATCCAATACTTTAGACAACTCAGAGAGCAGTTGACTTTTAATGTTCCCTGAACCATGTGGATTTCTACAGGTGCTCTGAATTGGGTTATTCCAGTGCTCTGCCAGTGCATTATCCACAGACTGTACTGATGTATTGACCCATGGATAAGTCTTGGCCCACTTGGTGAAGTAGTCAATAGCCATGAGTGAAATACGGGTTACCTTGTTCCATCTGTGGAAGTGGACAGGCAATATATTATATTCTGGAGAGAAAAATGATTCTTTGCTGAAGTTTACTCTGTTTAGGCCAATGCTTTGTCCTTCAGTTGCTCTTCCCAGAGATCTTGAAGTACTAATCCTGACATCCAACCACAAGTGGAATCTATTAATATATGGCTTGTCATTGCAATGGTAAAAATGGTTTCAACTCCCACATGGTGTTCAGGGTCCGCACATTTGATGAACAAAGAGCATCCCCCTGTAAGGTGAGATAATTATTGGCATTTCAGTGTGGCAGACCCTGGCAATACTGTATGGCTACATCATATTCCTGCAATACTGTTATCTAGCATGCTATTATCTCTTCACCATTTTAAAGTTCATTAACTAGTTCTGTAGTGCTTGGTCCACTAGAACAGTGTACTTTTATCATGGAAGTAGTGTCAATAGTTTTAGGAAACTCACAATTGCAAGGAGTTCTTTATTCATTGTACAGTATCTGTGCTCAACAGCCATAAACATACAAGTGTACATGATTAATTGTTCTATACTATCTTGCAATCGCGATAACACTACTTTAATTCCATTCTCATTGATGTCAGTATTAAAGTAGCTTGCATTATTAAAACAAAACTTACTAGCAAGCACTAACAGATTAACCATTTAGCTGAATTGGTAAAGCATTTGCTTAGCATGTTACAGGTCTTAGATTCAAATCTGAGGCAGGCAAATATTTGCAGCATAAACAAATTAATTAGTATATTGGCATTCAATTAATGTCCATCAAATTACCCTGTAACCTGGCTCAAGGATGGACCTTGTACCTTGTTTCTGAGAGAGAAAGAATGTAGTAGTTTGAGTTTTTAAAAAGTGACTTACTAGCAAGCACCTCAGGTTAATCCTTTAGCTTAGTTGTTCGGGCATATGCCTGGCATGCAACAGGACTTCATTTCAAATCCAATGTGAGGAAATATAGTGGGAAAAAATAAATTACCACATTGGTGTCCAAAGTGGGTAAAGCTCATGACCCTGTAATTAGAACCTGAAGTAGGCCTTGTTTGCGAGAGAGACATAATTATGTAGTTTGAGTTGTTAGTATGGCATGAAACAGAAGAAACTGCATAATTCTTACTTGGTCACAGGTTGAAGCCAATCTTCCACCAATGCTATTTTAGCAGATTCATTGGATATCCTATCCCTACCTACAAAAAAATTTGCAGAAAGGCAATTTTCTTGGTTTCCGTGTCAAGCGTACCTTTTTTATTCACTGAAATACCATGAAATACTCTCAGCCACAAATATGAATGTACAGACAAATATTAAGACATCATCAACATAGGTCAGGCACTTATCCCACTGCAGGCCTTTCAGTGAAAGCTCCATAGCATCTTGAAAGTTACACTGGCCATAGCATGACATAAAACTCATACAAGCCATCTCTCATGCTGAAAGCAGTCATAGTTCTGTTCTCATCATTCAATTCAACCTGCCAGTATCCTTATACCATATATCACAAATTGAACTAACTGTCCCTTTCCCATATGTCCAAATATTCATCTGTTCATAGAAGTGAAAAGCCATCAATGCAAGTTATCATGTTCACCAATCTAAAATCAATACAAGACCTGGTCATACCTTGGAGACAACCAAGTACTCTGGAGGCTGTATGATCCTGCCCTTTAACATCTACTTTAATTCTCCATTAGCTACTTTCCTATTACCCTACAAAAGCCTCAGTCAATTGTGCTTCCCTCACAATGAGGTCAATCCTAAGGGGAAAAGTAGGAACAGCCATTCTGGTCTCTGAGTGCACCATACACCAGTGACTTTTTTTAAACCTAAGGGAGATCATAACTTCAAAGCATCATCTGACCCATGGGCTGACCAGGTTTTCCCTCAAGAAAATGACAAAGAAAGGCAATAACTTAACAACTTTCTTGACCACTTGTTATGTTAAAACTGCTCATACAGAATAACTCACTAGTTTCTCATACTTCTATGTTTAAAGGAGGTAGAAAATGCATGATAACCTTATATAAAACACTAGGTTGGATTCAGTCTGCATAATTATATTCAAACAGAATAAATGCAATAAAGATGGAATGAGGAAATGATCTATGGTAAAGTGAAAAACAAACGTTTACTCCAATGTACCAAAACATCTCTCCAGCATGAGAGGAGGATTAAGGCAGGTTATGACCAAATCTTAGTTTATACATCATGAGGTCCCATGAATGAATTCCATATTACAGTCTGGCCAGCTGAGAAATCTGAATATGAGTTTGCAAAGATGCAATAGATTTTTAAAATCCCAGAAATGGGAAACAACCATATCATAAACATATCTTTTTGGAGAAAACTTACATGAAGTCAACATTAATGAGAAAGCACTCCAGAAATCCTGATGGCTAAAAGTAGCTGCATAAAACAAGAAAGATTACATGAACAATTAGTTTTACATTTAGAAGGAACAGACAAAAAATAAAAACATCACCAACCCTTCAAAAGAAAGTGGTGATACCCACCTGTACTCCATAATATAAAAAAAAGGAGTATAAAAAGTCTTACCAGTGAGAGAAGCAACATAATCCATTTCTTCCAAATCCTAAGAAACCTTGGGCTAGGGAGGGTAGGATGAATGATGAACTACCGAGTTAGACTGGCCACAAGAACATCGAGATGGCACCTGGAAGAGGCAAATAAATTCACTCAAAAACCCAAAAATTCATTCAAGTTAGCAAGGACCTTTCAGGTTGCTCCACCTCAGTACAAACATACAAAATGAGGGCATGATATAATATGAGGATTCACAGTCAACGAATAAGTTCACATACTCTAGGAGAGCTAGATATATGAAGCATTAAAAGAAAGTTTTTTATGGTTCCAATTGCAGGTGAGGGTAAGAAGAATTCTTCCAAAGAAATTTTAAATAGGATGAAAAAATTGAGGACAAAAGTTAAAAGAAATGAGTTTGTATTAAATCAAGAGAACATTAAATACAAACAATGGAACTAGATGAAATTGAGGCACATGATAAAAACACAGATCATCAAGAAGGTCATTATATAAGAAGCTACCTTAATATCCTTAACAAATGTTATAATTTTCCTACACTGAAAATGTATTTCCCACAGGTACTTACTTCTGCTCACATACACAGCTATTCTTGTTCAGTGCTGCCCTCTCCTTGCATGCCACAAGCCTTTCACTCCCACGCACCCCTCAATTCAAATGATTTAACTGATTCTCGCATGCAAACTATCATGCGACAAAAATTCACCAGTGGTTGTGCCACACACCCACGTGACTCGTATCCCTCTATGCTATTCTACCTAACTATCACATCAAGTTTAGGCAGAAATGTAAGCATCAGTTGACAGTGGGGAGAAAGGGTGGGAAGTGTGAGTGGAAGTAAGTACATGTCGGAAATACATTTTCAGTGTAGAAAAATTTTAACTTCCGACACGGTACCTTACTTCCACTCACATACCTAGCTAGAATTTCACAGTGAATAGGTGAATAGCATCCTTCAAAAGAGTCCAAAGGACACCCTCTAATAATAGTATTATATTTGGGAGACTGCACCACTTCTGTACCAGGTATACTCTTCACCCAGATGTGGGAAAAGGTCCGACAGATCCAAGTGGAAAATTATGAGGAGCACATCCCACTTGGAGAGAACATGGTTAGACAGTGATCCTAATCACAATATATTAGAATTTCAATCTCCCTGATGAACAGAAAGTGGGTAAAATAAGGAATGTGCCCCAAGGTGTGGAGTGGCTAGGGTGTTACGGACAGTACACGGCAAATCAACTGCATCCAAAATTCAACCACTAGGAACCGATATCCATGTGGGAATAGGATGAGGATCATACTTTGGTAAGTCAACTACGATTCCAAACTCAACCACCAGGAACTGATATCCATGCGTGGATAGGAAAGAAGATCATACTGTCTTCACCTCAAGTTCAGCCAACCAGATCTGTGAACAGGTCACATGTGAGCAGAATGAAATACATGTATATTCCACTCAAATCAAACAGACCAGAACCACCTCAACATAAAGACATCGAGGTGTAGCACAAGAGGAAGAAGTGGAGCAACCAACAAGTGCACCCACTATGACCCACAGTAGTTAGGAAATGCACTCAAGGCAAAGTGAGTGATTGACCAGGGACACCCTGATCACATGTGTGAGGACCTATGTTGATTGGTTCAGCTCAAAATCCAAAACTCAACCACTGGGAATCAACATCTAAGTGGGTGTAGGATGAGGGATCCCAACTGAAGGGGGTGGACTGCATTTATGCCAGCACACTCCATGTGCGAGTACAACATGTTGATTGTTTCAGCTCTAAATCCAAAATTCAACCACTGGGAACTGATATCCATGCAGGGCTAGGGTGAGGAATCCCAATCACATTACATGTGTGAGGACATGATTTTTATTGGTTTAGCTCTAAATCCAAAACTCAACCACCAGGAACCAATATCCATATTCGGGTAATATGAGGGATCCCAATTGGCACAACATGAGCATGAATAATATGTTGATTGGTTGAACTCTAAATCCAAAACTCAACTGCTGGGAAGAAACTTCCATTCAAGGGGTAGGATGAGGGATCTCAATCATTGTGACAGTGCACTCCAAAGCTGCAACATCTCTACAGACAAACTTGTGTAGAGATGGAGCATCCATTTGGAAAACATTTCATCATCTAAACCAGTAGAACACCACTCCCCTTCGCTCAACCAAATGAAGTTTTTATTTATATTGTATATCCCTCACTCAGGAGGATACCACCTTGGTCCACCACCCCAGCAGCTTGGAAGTGGACTTTCTTACTCCACTGGAAGAAATGGGGGGGGGGGGGCATGGGATGGAGAATCTAGAGAAATGTTCACACCAGAGACAGTGCAATGGGTGACCATGAAACCATATTTTGAAAAGCAGACAATCCGATTTATTCAATCTAAGGAATGGCAGGGATGGGCAGCAATCCCCTTCTGCTTTACCCATGAAGTCCATGGGTTATGGTCTGGAATGGGCATATTTATGAAGCAAATATATTGCAAGGAATAAATTATGAGCAATCTTATGGAACATCCAAGCTCTAGTTTATACGATTGTGAAGAACAATGTGCATTTTGTGGCCATGGAAATTATGAAAATGGCCTTACAGTGCTGGTTTTAGTATAATTCTAACTGACTGAAGTATACCTGTACAAGCACCACTCGCAACAGAGTGGGATCCTGGTGAAAACATGGGACAGGTCCTGATATATAATATATTAGGTCATCAAGAAATTAATGTCGCTTTTATTTAGATGAAAAAAAAACAACTTTTAGCCCAACTGTATGAAGATTTCAAACAAGAGGAGCTGAACTTTTTAGAAAGATCCTCAACTTCAGTGGATTGAACAGATACAGGTTTTTGTTGAAATGGCAGGAATTTCTTTTTATGAAAAGTGGTTTTATGTGTTAAAGTGTACTCATCGGAAAGAGCGGCTGCTTCCTGTAGTGTTTCAACTTTCTTTTCATCTAAGTATGTTTTGAGGTCGTCACAATCTTGACAAGCATGTGTTTGGTAGTTTGTCTTATCCATTCTTCTAAACCATTAGACTTAGGATTATAAGGCAGAGTGTGAATCTTCATTACACCTAATACTTAAAAAACACAGCACAATTGGGTGTTAAAATTAGCTTCCTAATCCATGTGGATCTCTTCCATTGCTCTAATCCATGCTAGCCAGTGCTCTGCCAACATATCTGCAACCAATGAATAAGACTGGACCAGCATCGTGAAGTAGCCAATGGTAACAAGCATATACTGATGACCCCTCTCTCTGTTGGTACCAGAAGCATGTAACCTGTGGTACTTGTATGGTCAGTAATGTGTGTGCTATGCTATTGTTATAAGCTACCAAGCCATGGTTTTTAGACTGTGCTGCAACTAGTGGTCACCAAAGCTCTAAGTCAAGAGATTCTCCAAACACTGCATAATACAAAGAATAGAGAGCACCAAGGTATTACCTACATGTGTGCTAGCATTCAGCAGCAGTTCTTCTGGCTGTATTTGAGTCAGAATGTGTGGTACTGGTGTGAATATTACATGGTGTGTGCAGCCCAGAGAAAGAACCTGCCATGGCAGGGTAAACCTATGTTCATCTATTTGTTCTGACCAGGATTAATTTGCTGTAGAGCATAAACACCTATCTGGATCCTTCAATTACTCTTCCCTGGGCTCCTGAAGTGTTAATCATGGCATCCATTCACCAGTAGTATCTCTTAGTTTATGGCTCAATGTACTATTGTATATTGTATATATGAGGGTCAGGACACTCCACAAATGCATAAGTTCTCACTGTAAGGTGATACAGTTCAGCCACATGCAAATGTTATCCAATGTGATATCATCCCTTCTGAATTTTTAAAGCTTATTAACCATTTTAGCAAAGCATGATCCATCCAGACAGTAAACCACCTACCATTTAAGTAGTGTTTTACAAATGCAACAACTGCATATAGTTCTTTCTTCCTTGTACAGTACCTACATTCAGAAGATTAAACACTGCATTCCATCCTATGACAACAATAACACTGCTTCAATTCAATTCTCACTGGCATTGATGTCCAATAAAAATTTACTGCCTTGTTGTGAATATGTCAGCACTGGAAACTCCACTAAAGCAAGCTTAAGGGATGGGATGCTTCATCACATTTTTCACTCCATCCAAAGTGCATTTCAATTTCAGAAAATAGAGCTACTATTATGAAGAAGTAGGATACAAACTGAAGAAACTGCAGACTTGTTGCTAGATCATTGTTGAAGCTAATCTTTCATGCTTTATTTTAGAAGGGCCTGTACAGACATCACTGGCATAAGGTGTGACTTGTAAACCATGGAAGGACTGGGATAGCCCTATCTGTTCACTGGAAACCAATGCAGTTGCATTACAGTACCAGAATGAGTGTGTGGCTGCATAACCCTCAGCAGGGCTTGAGCTCCTCAGGTTGGTGGAGGTACCTGAGTAGAAGGTTTCTTCTTCTACAGCAACTAGCTCATAGTTGCTACTTCATATATGGTAACAACAGAAACTACTGCTATTAGGATGAGGATATCTCTTACACCCAGGTGATGCCTCATCATTTGACTTCAACAAACATATCCAGGAAAATGTCTTCTTGATTTGCTGAAGCTATCACAGGTTAAGCTTTACTATGAAGATGAAGTAGTTGATCCACATAAGCATCCAAATTGTTAGTGGCGCTCCTTTTCTGAGCCTTGAAATATGTCCATTAGATTACTTGATTCTCCACTGGGTCAAGTTGTTGTTTCAAAAAATAATCCAGATCTTCCTTCACTGCACCTTGGAACATCAGGGGTGAATTCTGATGTTGGCCAAAGATTTTCTCTTGCAGGTATTTAGTTGATGTTTTGGGTATTTTCATACTCTTTTACTTGTTGGTGCCCACTGTCTCACCTGCCAGAGAAGCAGCTCTGACTGGTGGACTTTATCCACCAGTGGCACATCTAGGCCCAGTCCTTCTCAGCTGGTTATGGGTGTTCTTGGCCAGAGCTAGGGGTGATGTAACTATGGCTGGCAAGAGCCTAGGAGTCATTTACTGACCACCCCATTTAGTTTCAGACTTGCCAGATCCCATTACACCTCAGTAACTCTCAATCTTCCAAACTTCCCTTCCACTAATGTTCATCCTCAGAGGCAATGCACAACCTACCATTCTGGGTAAAGCAGATATCAATTGATCTCCCCAAGACTGTGGTTGCAGAGAGATCAACACCACCAACCTTCCAGTTACCTGCAAGGATCCTATGTTCAAGAGACAACTTCTCTTAGAGTCAACACCTCTTTGTACAACTTTCTAAAGCAGTAAACTCTCCATCTCAGTCATGCAGAAAATGCCATTCTTTAAACACAAGAAATCAAGTAAGGGCATTACAAATGTTAACAAAAACAGAAAACTCCACAATAACCTGTGGCCATGACACCAAAATGTATCATTCTTAGTTATGGTATTTCAAATAAATCTGATTTCCTCAAAGAATAATTGGCAGACCCACTTTAAATTAAGAGGATTGGCAGGATAAATTATGAAGTAATGCTGAGTTTAACTGAAATGTCTAAATTTGATCAATGAAGTGAATAGACTAGAAATGTGTAACACGAAATAAAATCATTCTTGATTTAAATCCAAGACAAAAGTACAATGTGTGTACTTGCTTTCTGGACTGTTGCCTTTCACTGGATTTGTGAATTGAATAACTGACTTTCTTTCCTCAGATATCTTCCAGTTAAACAATTCACCTAAAATTCCATGCATGAATGTTTAAATCTAACCTTTCTTGCTTAACAAAATATCAGATTTACCCATAGCAACGAACACTATCCACATTATTCATCATTATTATTCAGCATAGTGGAGACTTTACCTCAAGATAGCATATGATCTATCATTGGAGGGCAATGGCTGTCAACATTCTTGCACAATGTGCAACATTGCAACCATGTCTCCTATGGGAAGGATAGATGTTATTTCCAGAGAAAGGAAAAATGGCAGATACAATGAAATTAACAACTTTCTGGATCATGTGTTACATGGAAAAAAGATCTTTCATTCCAAGGACCTGGACCATTATGCATGCTTGTCCAACACAACCAACACTAGTACCCCTCGAAAACCAACATCCACACAATGGTAGGAAGGGGACAGCAATGTGGCAGTTCAACTCCAGTCCAGAACCAGATGGCATTGGGAATGAATCATCCAGTCCATGATAGGAGGGGGGTACCTGGGCCTCTCACATGTGAGAACTTATGTGGCTGGTCCAGCTCCAACCCAAACCAATAACTTCCAGTAACTGACCTCTGGGCAACAGTAGGAAGGAGAATACCCAGCCAGAGGGGTGAACTACATTTTGGCAGAAATCATCCAGTCCATAACCAGGCAGCATCTGGAAGAGCACATCCAGGTCTGCAGTAGGAAGAGTGTCTATACACCATCTACACTGGCAGAAATCTATTGCATAACTCTCAGCCAAGTGGAATATAGTGCACTCAGGAGGAAGCCTCCATGGTCCATCACTCCAGTAACTAGGAACTGATAAGTGATAAGGACTCCCATATTCCACTCGAAGAAGAGAGAAGCATGTTGGAGAGTCTAAAGGAACACAGTACAAGATACAGTGGAATGGGTGAAACCCTATTTTGAAAAGCAGTCAGTTCTTGGTTAGTCAAATGAAGAGGTAGCATCAATTCCCTTCTGTTTTACTCATATTAGTCTATGAGTTGTCAGAATGGATCATTACATAACTGGGTGCCATCTACTATAGCCAATCTCCCTCAAAACAATGGTGACAGTGGTTTGTTTTTTATCAACAAATCTTTTGTTATTATTTGGGTCACTTGGTGCAAGATCAATACAAATGGAGAGACTTTAGAGCTCACTGACCCCACCCACCATGGAACTCCTACAAGGGGACACACTACAATGCTAAAGTAGAGCATTGTACAGATGCCAAGGTTTCCTGGCACTATACCTAAACACCAGCATTACACGCAATGTCCACAAAACCCATTGAGAATATCCAACACTGGTATTTAATTGACCCTAGCCAAACAGAACCAGCTGACTGACCCTGAGGAAGCCACCCCAAGTTCACCCGTCTACAAGAAATCAAGGCCAAAGTGATGTGTTGAAGTGTCACCAATATAAACTGACCCATCAATGACACCCCCAACCACCAGAATCCTCTCCTCCCTTATTATCATTCCGTCAACTGCTGCCACATGACCACATCAAAATTACCAAACTGCTCTAAAATCTGTAATGCATCAAACTTACCAATATGAAACATAGCCTAAAGTTGTGTGTAGTACATGTAACAAGTGTACATTATTCTTTCCAAAGTTAATGTTTTCTATATTTATGTATATTGCCATTCACTTGAAAAATATAGTACATTTGTGGACAGAAATGTACATAATGCACTTATTATCTTAAATATAGAAGTTATGGGATCCTCAATCATAGCTAATTCCATTGGATGCCCCGCACAGCAAACACGTGAGTGGACGTTTGGATCTCAGATGAGGTAAACTGAAGATACAGAACCTTCTCTGCATAACAATAGAAGTTAAACCTACTTTATGTTTACCTATATGGTTTAAATCTAATGTTATGTCTCATTTTTTATTTTTAACAAAATCAATTAAAAGTTTCAATTTCACTACATAAGACAACAAAGGACCAATCAATCCTTCAAAGCTGTCCTTGTACATCCTCACTTGCAAATATTAAACATTAAAATTTCTTTTTAAAGTATTATAAAACTCTCACTCTCGCATCCATTACTGCCAATGGCAATCTATTCCATAAGCCAATCACCCTGTTATAAGAAAAAATAAATTGCATAGACTGTCTTTTTGAAATCTTAAACTTGTGTACACTCATTCTCTTATCTTAATAATATAACACAGTTCCTATCAATCCCCAGATAATCTTGTAAACTTCAACAAGATAACCTCTTACTCTTCTTATCTCAAGTGAAAATAAGTTAAGAAATATTTATCTTTCATCATAGTGATCAACCTCTAAACCCTTTCCAATCAGTCAATATCCGTTTTTAACTAACACCAAAACTGTATCCAGTACCCCAAGTGAGGACATAACTAGTGATTTTTATATAGATGATTACCTCTTTTGACTTGTAATTAGTATGCCTACAAGTACACCCTAAAACTCTATTAGCTTTACTAGCAGCAGAGCACTGCCTCAATAATTTGTGTGACTCAATCCATTGTCACCCTTGAAGCACTCCACTTGTAACAAGTGTCCAGTTTGACTGTATTCATTCCCATACTGGTAAAGATCTGAGCATTAAATTTTTCCATACTTTTTATTATGTAAATTAATATATTAAGTCAGAATTTTTGTAGTACTAACAAGTTATCAAAGTAAAAAACTAGGCCATATAAGAGTATTATTCAATACCAAAAAATAAGGGCATTCATTTCTTGGAATTCTAAAAATTCAAAGTAAAACGTTTACAGGTATGCATAAATGAGGAAGTATTTGACATAATATGCAGTTATAAGTTTCTTGCACACATGTATTAACTAAAACCATACTTTTTTTTCTGTGTCATGCAGTTGTATGATGATTTTGTTAACTGCCCGTCTTACAGATTTTTTTCAGCAGATATTCTTGCCAGAAAACGTGTAATATTATTATTATACTTGCAAGTTGTCAAAAGTGTGAAAAATCACCAGATTTATTTCCATATAGTCGATAAACCTGTCCAACATTTACCTTCCATAGAGTTGTTAAATCATATTATAGATTAACATCCAAATTTTTGTCTTATTAAGCTTTGTAAGATAAGCCTTTGTTACACTTACAAGCATAGTCTTCCCATGCATTGACTATGATATTGACCAAATATCACCAACTTAAATCTTGGTTTATTCAATATATTTACCATATTTGATTTTCATATAAAGTGAACTAAGATGTGAACAACCACTACTGAGGTCTTAATTAATAGTGAAGTAGTAATTATCTAAATATTTTACTTTTTTAATGAGTAGAATATATGAACCAAGAACTATCATAAACTGTACATACAAGAAATATCAATGGTTCATAAGTAACGTCAAAATGAATGGTAAAATGATTTATCAGTCCTAGATCTAATGTTACCTTGGAGTAGGACACTAATCAAAGAAACAGTTCATAAAATGGACTTAACTTTTTTTTAAGAGTTCGTTACCTTTTACAATACGTAATATTAAAAAACATAAACAAATATCAATTTATAATATTAATAATCACATGATAGATGAGTTAAACATCATCTCTCAGAATTACTTGTAAATCAAACTGTTACCTGTTGTTGTAAGTTGAAGTTCTACGCCAAATAATTCGCGATGAGTCAAATTTGGCCGTGATGAAATCTAACATTTAAAACTATTTCAACGAACAATAAAAATAAATCATGAACTTCTGATTTTAATTTATCTTATAAATTATGTATCTTGAGTTTAAAAAGACAATGATTTACAATAAATATTACACGATACTTACGTATGTTTTAATCAATTCCAAGAGGTAAAACTGATGAACGTGCAATACCTATCCTCCCCGATCATGTCCTGACAGTTCCAACTGGAAATATGCGGAAATGAAACTCATACTAAATAAACCGTGTCCGAACTGTGTTGTCCATAGCAACCATAAAATGCGCCCTCTCACTTTTTTGTAAAACAAGTTGAACTATTTAAATATTAAACTTTTCCCTTTTCGTCGTTTCCAGTGGCACAGCGGTTAATTTGCGGACTTATACTGCTAGGAACCGGGTTTCGATACCCGTAGTGGACAGAGCACAGATAGCCCTTTGAGTAGCTTTGTGCTTAATAACAAACAAACAACAACAGATTTTTGTTAAAATGAATTATACGTTGTTTGTTTGAAGTTAAACACAAAGCTACATAATGAGCTATCAATGCTCTGCCCACCAGGGTATCGAAACCCAGTTTTTAGCGCTATAAGTGGGGGCAAATGAATTGTAGTATATTAGTATACTAAGTATAAATGGCCTGGCATGGCCAGCTGGTTAAGATGCTCGACTCGCAATCTGCGGGTTCGAATGTAACAGTCAATCCCACTATTCGTTGGTAAAAGAGTAGCCCAAGAGTTGGCGGTGGGTGGTGATGACTAGTTGCCTTCCTTCTAGTCTTACTCTGCTAAATTAGGGACGACTAGCGCAGATAGCCCTCATGTAGCTTTGCACAAAATTCAAA